GGCGTGTCCTCGGTGGCTGGGCGTGTCCTCGGTGGCTGGGCGTGTACTCGGTGGCTGGGCGTGTACTCGGTGGCTGGGCGTGTATTCGGTGGCTGGGCGTGTACTCGATGTCTGGGCGTGTACACAGTAGCATAGAAAGGACTCGTTTCATGCTGCTAACAGTGGCTGGGCGGCTGGGGTTTGTGAGTGTAGTGCTTGTTAGGTGAACACGTTCATTGTGTGTACAATATCGACGCCTAGTTTTGTACAAGGGCTATGAACAGGTGACCAAATGCAGCCAAGAATTCGTTTTCAGACTCGAGCAAAATATCTTAGACGGAATCACTGCCGTCCATTTTCGGCACAGTTTGCTGCAAAGTCGGATAAACCAGCTAAAGTTGTCTGATACCAACTCAGGGTGTCCGATCTTTGCTCAGGGTGGCCAATACCAGCTCATAGTGTCCAATACTTGCTCAGGATGTCCCACTCCAACTTGGGGATTTATGTCAACTCGAAACAGACACTTTCCCGACGTTGACAGAAAAATTATTTAACAAAAAAAAAATGATTATTTAAATAAACTGGTGATGCTAGAGAAGTTTGAACTCATGTCTGTAAAAGTCAAAGTTTGTTTGTGTGGGGTTTTTGTTTGTTTTTTTATTTCCACATAAGCGCCTACATGAATCTATTGATACGGACTACACATTTATTTTTCGAATATATTATCGTTTAAGATCTTGATTATGTAACATTGCTTTGATCGTATCTCATTGTAAGGATAAACATTTAAATAATTTGAATATCTTTGTCACGGAAACGGCCGGTGGCGAAATGGCCCGGTGGCAAAACGACCAGGCGGCGCGAATAATCCCATCACCCAACCCCACCCCACTCCCACCCCCAACGCTTTTACTTGCCCGGGGTAAAAGTCTACCCAGCATTTCTAAAGTACCTATAAAATAATTATTGTTTAAGGTGCATTTAATACCACAAAAATTATCTTTGTGTTCTTAAAGTTGTGCGGTAACTGGAGGCCAATATTTTGTGACCTGCCGCTATAAAGCTGGGAGTGGCTAGAGCTGTGGGTGGCTAAAACTGGAATAGTCTATAGATGTGCATGGCTAGAGCTGGGAGTGGCTAGAGCTGGGAGTGGCTAGAGCTGGGAGTGGCTAGAGCTGGGAGTGGCTAGAGCTGGGAGTAGCTAGAGCTTGGAGTGGCCAGAGCTGTGGGTGGCTAAAACTGGAATGGTCTATAGATGTGCGTGGCTAGAGCTGGGAGTGGCTAGACCTGGGAGTGGCTAGAGCTGGGCGTGGCTAGAGCTGTGAGTGGCTAGAGCTGGGAGTGTCTAGAGCTGTGAGTGGCTAGAGCTGGGAGTGGCTAGAGCTGGGAGTGGCTAGAGCTGGGAGTGGCTACAGCTGGGAGTGGCTAGAGCTGTGAGTGGCTAGAGCTGTGAGTGGCTAGAGCTGGGTGTGGCTAGAGCTGTGGGTGGCTAAAGCTGGAATGGTCTATAGCTGTGCGTGGCTAGAGCTGGGAGTGGCTAGAGCTGGGAGTGGCTAGAGCTGGGCGTGGCTAGAGCTGTGAGTGGCTAGAGCTGGGAGTGTCTAGAGCTGTGAGTGGCTAGAGCTGGGAGTGGCTAGAGCTGTGAGTGGCTAGAGCTGTGAGTGGCTACAGCTCGGAGTGGCTAGAGCTGTGAGTGGCTAGAGCTGGGAGTGGCTAGAGCTGGGAGTGGCTAGAGCTGGGAGTGGCTATAGCTGGGAGTGGCTAGAGCTGGAAGTGTCTATAGATGTACATGACTAGAGCTGGGAGCATCTAAAACTGGAAGTGTCTATAGATGTACGTGACTAGAGCTGGGAGCATCTAAAACTGGAAGTGTCTATAGATGTACGTGGCTAGAGCTGGGAGCATCTAAAACTGGAATTGTCTATAGATGTACGCGGCTAGAGCTGGGAGCATCTAAAACTGGAAGTGTCTATAGATGTACGTGGCTAGAGCTGGGAGCATCTAAAACTGGAATTGTCTATAGATGTACGTGGCTAGAGCTGGGAGCATCTAAAACTGGAAATGTCTATAGATGTACGTGGCTAGAGCTGGGAGCATCTAAAACTGGAAGTGTCTATAGATGTACTTGGCTAGAGCTGGGAGCATCTAAAATTGGAATGGTCTGTAGAGGTGCGTGGCTAGAGCTGGGAGTGGCTAGAGTTGGGAGTGGCTAGAGCTGGGAGTATCTAAACCTGGAAGTGTCTTTAGATGTACGTGGCTAGAGCTGGGAGTGGCTAGTGCTGGGAACATCTAAAACTGGAAGTGTCTATAGCTGTACGTGACTAGAGTTGGGAGTGGCTAGAGCTGGGAACATCTAAAACTGGAAGTGTCTATAGATGTACGTGGCTAGAGCTGGGAGTGGCTAGTGCTGGGATTATCTAAACCTGGAAGTGTCTATAGATGTACATGACTAGAGCTGGGAGTGGCTAGAGCTGGGAGTATCTAAACCTGGAAGTGTCTATAGATGTACGTGGCTAGAGCTGGGAGTGGCGAGAGCTGGGAGTATCTAAACCTGGAAGTGTCTATAGATGTACATGACTAGAGCTGGGAGTGACTAGAGCTGGGAGTATCTAAACCTGGAAGTGTCTATAGATGTACGTGACTAGAGCTGGGAGTGGCTAGTGCTGGGAGTATCTAAACCTGGAATTGTCTATAGATGTACGTGACTAGAGCTGGGAGTGGCTAGAGCTGGGAGTATCTAAACCTGGAAGTGTCTATAGATGTACATGACTAGAGCTGGGAGTGGCTAGAGCTGGGAGTATCTAAACCTGGAAGTGTCTATAGATGTACATGACTAGAGCTGGGAGTGGCTAGAGCTGGGAGTATCTAAACCTGGAAGTGTCTATAGATGTACGTGACTAGAGCTGGGAGTGGCTAGTGCTGGGAACATCTAAAACTGGAAGTGTCTATAGATGTACGTGACTAGAGCTGTGAGTGGCTAGAGCTGGGAGCATCTAAAACTGGACGTGTCTATAGATGTACGTGACTAGAGCTGTGAGTGACTAAAGCTGTGTACACGCGCGACATTTTCTGGCAACTGCCAGTCTTGACGACTGCGCCAATGTCCATTTCAGGTTCACACGAATCTCCTGCTGGTTGACCTCGGTTGCAGAATCGGCGTGTACTCCGTGTGGGCTGCGGCCGTGGGGCGCCCGGTCTTGGCCGCAGAGTCGGATCCAACGTATATCACCTTGATGCAGAAGACGATCAGGGCGAACGGCTTGGATTCATACATCACGCTGTTGGCCAATTCTTTGTCGGATTCCCGTCAACAAGCCACAGGACCCACTCAACAACCGTAGGTATCATTAAAATGAAAGAAAATAAGAATCGCCGAGTGTGTGTGTGTGGTGGGGGGGAGGAGGGGAGGGGGGACTAAAAGAAGAAACAAATAATAAAGCACAAACGTATTGGCAAAACGCATGCTTTGCTCAGCGATCAAAGCAGCAGTCGTACCAGTTTTGGTCTTGAGTAGCTGTGGCGCTCTTGGTGTGGCGCGAAGGGGGCGACAGCTCCAGTCGGCACTATTGAGTGGTTTATAAATATAACCAGGACCGTCGCATGCAACCCAGGGTTTCTTTCAGCTATATCTCCAAGTGCACCCCCCCCCCCGTAGCAAAAAAATGTCCAACAAAAATATGTCCCCGAAAAATCTGA